CCGTAGCGCAGCCGTAGGTTTCACTGGTCAGAAATACTGTAAATCTCGCACGAGCTTCACCTTTACTTTACAATGAGTGCGAAAGAAGATCTCAGCAACAGGTGAAAAGTCAAATTTGAAACCCATCGAACGTTTTGAATTTTTAGTGGGATAGCTCTTGAGATATCCCACCGTAGCTTACAGTAACTCAGTACCAGGCATAGATGCCTGGTCTCTTCAGGTACTTTTTCCCTCGCATTCGTCCGCAAGATCTGCTATTCAAGTTAAACTCTATTCTGCCCAAGGCGTAGTGTTCATCTATTCCAAGATTTCTCAGATCCGTTCCGAACTTGTCCATCCATTTCGTTTTTGGTCTCTCTCGTTTTTTTTACCAAGCATCCCGAACAACCTTGTTTGGTTTTCTTCTCTCCTACTCATATGTCCTACCAGCCCAAACGCTTCTCTTCGTCTTCTGGACGATTGAAGTAACCTTCTTCTGAGATCTAACCATACCGTCATAGATGTGATCCTTTATCGTGAGAATCAAGGTCTAAGGTAGCATCCGAGCCTCCATGACAACAAGCTTATTCTCTTCTTTGCGTCCTCAAACAACATTCCAATGCTATGGGACAGATTACAGTACGATACATCTACGATTTGAGATGTAATTATTGTAACGTTTGCCACAGGGGCTTATCGACTTCAGCCAGGCTGCACTTGTTCTGGACGATTTGTCTTCAATTCCTCCTTCCGCCGTGGCTTCTCATGACTTGAACGACTACGCTTTTCTTATTGGCTCACCACTGATGCATATGGTTCCGGGCTGACTTCCCGACTCCATATACTTGGTCTCCTTCATACTGCTTCAAACTTCAAATGTGTGGTTCCGGTTAGTTTTTCCACCTCTGCACCTCTTCCTCAAGTTATTCCCTACTCTCAAACCACATCATCCGCATAAAGAAGAGTCTCCGGCGGTTGTCTTTCGAGCCTTCCGTTATGCGTCCATCACTTTGATGAAGAGCGGGAGGGAGCACCGAATCTTGTTGGACTCCGACGTTAATGCTTAACCCGTTCAGCGGCCGACTGTTGTGCACAGGTTGGTGGCCCTTAGATCATTTTCAACTATATGATATTCTCTTCCGGAACCAC